AACAGAGATCTTGTTTTCAGGCAGGCCTAAATAATTTGCTTTCTTTATCACTTGGGTTTATATATATCGTGGTATATTTGGCATGTCTAGGTATATTGGACACAGTAATTAAGAGAAAGCATTTGATTCTTTTGGTGAAGTAGTTGTTAGTGGTGGTTTGTACTAAAATAAAATATTTGTTAATAAGTGTTATTTTGAGACTTGTGGCTGACTTTCAAGTTTACAAGTGATTATTGCCTAAAGACAAACTCTGTACTGACTCTTGCTTTGTCATGAGAAAAAAAAAATGGTTTCTTTACAAGCAAAATGAGGGTATTCTTTAAGTGGGGACTTTGGTTTTAAAGAAGACAGCACAGCTTGCTAGAAGATTTAAAATGTAATGTTTTCAGGCACTGATGTTTCTACAGTTGATATTAAGAACTTGGGTTATTCTGGAATAAAATTACTAGGACATTATCTCCTTGGATTTGAAGTTCACTTGAAAATTTTCATTCAAATTCTGAACATACTTGACTATGCTGCTTCATATAATTTTTGATGAAAAAATTGAGCATACAGGTAGCTACAAAGAAGCTACTGAAAGCACTACTGAACCAATGGAATACAGCAAGAGCAACACTTACTCAGTTGCCTTTAGAGAAAGGAATTAGTGGAGCCATGATTAATTTCTTGGCTACATTAATATTTTTCACTCTGGCTCTATGAACTGCAGCAGCAAGAACTTTTAATAAATGGATGTTCTTGACTTGTAAAAAAAAAAAAAGATTATGCTGTGCTTTCAAAGCAAACTTGTGCTACTTTATTGTAACTTAGTGTTCAGAGTCATACTTCCCAAGTCTGTTTAGGGAGGAGAGGGAATAGAATGTTTAAGGAAGCATATTTTCTTTACAATTTGTGATCTGTGTTTAAGGATATAAATCCACTCTGTGCACTATGTGGTATTTTTTGTTTTCCTATTAATGCAGTTCTAGTATCACACAAGTCAGATCTGGTTTAAGTCATGAAAAATGTGACAGTGGCTCAGCTTTGAAAGCTATTTTGTAGTGACTGGCCTAGGAGAAGAAAGCTGCAGGTTGGAGTTGCTTTTTCCATCTGGAAATGTTAAACTTCCCTTACTATTTCAACTACAGATCAAAAATAGAGAAAATGCTACTACTTGGAAGTTGCAAATACGACACAACTTTACTAAACCATTTGCATTAATCAATAGGCTGGTTAGGAGTTGAAATTGTTAGGCAACAGCATTTTTTCCCATTAGTCTTCACCATCTTTTAAACTAATTTGTTACTAATAATTCACAAAATTGGCATTGCTGATCCTCAGCCCTGTTGTTAAATATTGTCAATTACTATTCAACTCTTTAAAATGGACCTGGCTCAACTTTAAGCTATATTAGATGTTGTTTTTACAATTGAAGAAAAATTGCAACCTTCAAATAATATTTTTAGTCAAGGAGATTTTAGTTCTATTTGTTGAAGTAACTAAACTAATTATAATATTGCTGTGAAATATGTAAATGTACTCTTTGTGGTCTTAATTTTTTTAATACAACAGTTTCTCAGTACAAATTCCTGTTTGCAAGGTAAATATCCACTACTATTTTCAAAAGCTTTTCCACCATTTATGTGCTTATATGTTGTCATAAATGGTATTATTTTTATTTTACTTCATCCAAAAGCATGTTAAGTAATAGTACAAATAACAGGATATAGTCTCTGCCCAGAGGTGCTTAGCCAGTAAACTGATACCACAGTATGGGCAAGGACGGGTAGAAAAGCAGGGCAGAACCTGGCATGTTCTGTAGTTACTTAATCAAAGCGTCATGCCCAGTACAGAGTTAGAAAATCTTATGTACATTGAAAGTGTTAAACTTCTCTTCAATGTGTACCTTTAGAAATAGCTCTTAATATAAGAATGAGGAAGAGCACGCGTGGATAAATTCAGAATTTGATCAGAAAATCTGATAAAGGAACTGTAAGCTCGAATGCAGATTTTGATAAAATAACCGATTTGCCTGAGTCAGTTTTCAAAGTAACAAGAAGCTACAAACTCAGATTCAAACCTTACTTCCTAGTCCTTTATGAGGATTAAAAATAATTCACTGGGCAGGAGTGAGTAGCATTCTGAAAGGATGACATGAATCACTCCAAGTACTTGAACGATCACATTCACTCTTGCATAGAGAGGGAGAACGTCTTAGGCCTGGATATTGTTTGTAATTGCAGATGAAATATTTGATTATACGAGAGTACAGATGAGAATGGATACAGCATTAAAAAAGAGCAGTTCATGATTTCCCATACAAAGTCATTAGAGGCTTTAGAGGGAGGAACTGTGGAGAGAGAGTGGTTTACTGCCATGATCTGTTTAATCCTTGCCTTCTCGGAGATGGCAAAGCATGCCTTTAGAAGTGCTCTTCACAGCTTGATTAGGGTTCATATTATGAGACTTTTAAGTGAATCCACCTATAAGGTATTTCACTAGAATGCTCATTCTTCATCTTTCTAAAGTGGGTTTGAGTTTCCCTAAAATGAAAGGTGCCAGATAAGATATAGAACATAGCTACTTTTCATATGAACTTCATTCTAAATTTTTTCCAATTCTAATCCTTTTCACTGAGACTAGAGTTAGCTGAAACACCTCTACAGTCACGTAAATCAATATACTTGCATTTAGAGTTTTGTATGTGAAGAAATCAAGATGTTGATTATACTAAATTCTCTTAACAAGTGTTACTTGGAGGAAATTAATACAGAACATTGAAATACTTTTTTTCTGGCCTATGTTGTTTGAAAATTGCTATCATTAGTCACTTTGCATGATGTGTTTAAATAACTTCATTATTGCAAATACTATAACTGAGTAATTTGGAAACCCTGAGATTTACAGACAAGGTCTAAACGTGGTTTTTTTCCTTTGGTTTCCTAGTTTTCATATAGGGGTGTTAAAATGTATTTGCTGCTTTCTGGTAATCTGTGACTGTGGACAGATACAAGTACCAAACCCTTAATGATCAGAGTTGCTTTGGTACTTCTGAAAATTTTCCCGTAGATCTTTATCTAAACTTAAGCTGTTTCCACTTAGTTTCTAATTTATAGTTGTGATATGAATCCTAAATGTCACAATAGCTTTCTGCTCTTACCCAGGAGCTATTTCTGAATTCATTGAATTTGAAGAGACTAGAGCCTAGCAACACGTGCTAGCAGCACTACTCGTAGATTGTGAAACTGATTGAGGTGGTCTGTATTAGCACTGTTACATGCAGAACTTTTCAGTTTTGTTTATTTCTGAAACTAAACAGTGTTGTTGGTGGGAATCATGGAATAGTAAGTTGTTAGTGACTGTCTTAAAGCATTACCTAGTAAAAGTTGGTAGGAGTATGAAAATGAAAAGGCTAGCGTGTAAACAGACAAGTAATACTTTAAGGAGTATGCAAGATAGGGCATATAGAAGGGTTGGTTTTGATCACAGACACTCAGTTGTTGTAGTCACAGCCCATATCCTTTGTACTTTGAGAAAGTTTCTTAGTAAGCTCTTAGTGGCTTAGCAATTGCCCTTGATCTCATGATAAAGGGAGAATTTTTGTCTAACTCAAATGTTTAGTGGCTGCAAACTTCTGTTAACTCTGCATTCTAGGCTTCTGCTTGAAAGTGTTAAAAAATACTTCCAAGCTTCTAGCAAAAAAAGGAGTCCATTTTTAGTTGATGTAGGTAGTCTTTGGCCTTACAGTGGATTAATTTGTTGATATGAATCAAACCTTTTATTGTTCAAACAAATCAACATTTCTGAATTGGCTCACAGAAATATTAATGATCAAAAATGCAGCTTTCATACTCTGGGGTGATACTCTTTATGCAACAGGCATTGGACCATTAAAGCCTAGGGAACAAGATAACAACTCTGACACTTTCTTGCTATTTAAGAAGCTTCCTCCCCTTTTCTTTGAGAAAAGCCTACCTTTTTATTGCTGGCTCCACCCCCTCGCACTTCCAAAATAACTGTACATTGTCAGGGACTTTCACGTTTCTGCCATTTTGCACCTTCTTAAAGTGTAGATGACTTGTTGATGATGGTTCTATAGCTGAGCAAGCGCTTACCGTAAGGATAGCAGCACGCAGCCTGAGAACTCCTGTATACACAAAATAAGACTAGTTATTAGTGTTTGGAAGAAATCTTAGTGGTAATGGTTGAATCTGGGAATCCACATATCTTAAAATTTTAGTCTTTCTTTTAGCTGGACAGCCCCAGTCATTAACAGTTAGTTTAACTGGAATTAGCTATCTCTGTGTGGGGAGCTGACAGGGAGGATTGTCTTGTAGGCTGAAAATATCCAGCTACGCTTAGAGGTGTTAAGCCATCTCTTGTACTTTTTCCAGTGATTTATATCTCTGAAGGGCTCTAACCAAGCTTTCAGGTCCCATCTTAATAAAAGAAGAATGTATGCTAAACACCTTGTCAGCCATTTAAAGCTATAAATACAGTAAATGGAGGAAACAGTATTAATTTCTTATCCTACCTACAGCTGAATGCAAAAAGCATCTTTCTCGCTGAAGAGATACTATTAAATCTATTACAAGACTGACACAAACCTTGGAAGCTCAACTTACCAATTTTCAAATCAGTTAGGATACATAATGCACAAAAGATAAATTGAGTTTTTAAGTATGTCAGCATAGGGGGTAAATTTCATGTAAATACAAACACTTTAAAAAAAAAAAAGTTATTTCCAGATGCAGCTGATTACTCCTGCAATAGTTGTTACATCAGTTGTTGTTTTTTTAAGTGCTCTCTTAAGTTTGTCAATATCTAGCTTTATGGCCAGCCTCATTTAAGAACAAATCAGACAGAAAATGTGGTAGTTTCTTAGGTAATGGTACAGCTCTGATACTGAGTTATATGGGTAAAATGAGACAGAAAATTACTAATAATTGAAAGTGCAGCGCTTTATCAGACAAAACACATTTGACTTAAACCTTTTCTCTTACTTTCTTTTTCAATAGAAACTATGTTCCAACTTCCTGTCAACAACCTTGGCAGTTTAAGAAAGGCCCGGAAAACTGTGAAAAAAATACTTAGTGACATTGGTTTGGAATACTGTAAAGAACATATAGAAGTAAGTATGATACCTCCCAAGTGTTGTAGTTAGAGTCAAAATGCTCCAGAGTTAGTGGGACTGTGAGGTCTTTGGTGTATGACATTTTTTTTTTTTTTTTTAGACCTGTTTCACAAAATGTTAAATTTTTACTGTGAATTTTGAAGGAATCCCCTATATCCTGTTCCCACACCATACTCCTCTGTTCTCATCAGCTTCCGAGAATGATTCTGAGATTCCATTTGAGCCTTGTTGTTCAGGCGTTGCTACCCCTGCATTGCTTTTTAAGTTCTACACAAAGTGGGACTTAATTAATAACTTGAGCTAAAACTGTACCTGTAAACACTTTTTAGAAAGTTTAGTGGAGACAAGATACGCTTCAGGCTATATGTGATGACTTGATATGTATTGAAGGTAGGTTGTCTTTTGTTTATGTTGGATTCTTAAAAATAGCATTTGCTAACTGAACATTTAGGCATGAAGCAAGAACTCGGTGCGGTATAGGATGTTCTTGGGGGACAGAAGATGGTTCTGAGGTTTTCATGAAGTGTTTGTCAGTGCTAACAGTAGGTCATCAAGTTGAAGAATCACTTTTGTACCTGTGTCAGTTCCTAGAAGGGAAGGGTATTTGTGCTACTCGTCTGGACAAACTTCGTAACTGTCGTCTCAAAAGTGCAGTTTTCTCTCCTGAACACTAACTTCTGTACTGTCAATTCCCATGCTTTAACTCTTCAGAGTACTCGGCAAATTATGACCTGTTTGCTTTGGCTTTTCTGTTAGTGTCTCTTAAAAGAGCATTTAAGTGAGATGTGTAAGAGGAAGAAATGCCAGTCCTTCCTGCTTGGAAAATTTGTGGAGCAAGTATAATTTTTAAGGGGAAAATTCTGAACTGGGACAATGTTACTTTCCGTATTTGTTTCAGTGGAAATACTGTTTTCGAGTCCTTATGCGCTGCTGATTTATATGCCAAAGATGAAATGCCAAAGTACTGCATAAGATTATTTTTTTAATACGAATTGGGCTGCTTGGACATCATACACATAGTCAAACTTTTAAAACTTTTATCTGAATTCTTGTGTGAAATTAAAGTAATAAAAAAACCCCAAACCGAATCAAACAAACAACACCCACCCCTACCCCCCAAAAAAACCCAAACAAACATCAGAGTTACGGTAAAGCATCTATATGGTCTTAAATGTTTAGCACTAGCCCGGGAATACTTTTCTCTGTGACTGCTTTTGAAAACGGGGCAGGTATGTAATTACAGTCTTGGGTTGATTAGGAGGATGAGTATGGAAAATAGTTCTTCAGGTGTTTTATGATACTGAGACTATTCACAACTCTTCACCTCCAAAGAGGTGCATCTTAAATACCCACACTTCCTTGAATTTCTGTCTACTATTTGCCAGCAGCACTTGAGAGGACTGCATGGGTGCTTACAAGAGTTGCAGTTGGTCTTTGGTTTTGATTCTCTGTACTCTCTTCCCATCTTCCCCTTCTCCAGGATTTTAAGCAGTTTGAACCTAATGACTTTTATTTGAAAAACACTACATGGGAAGATGTAGGATTGTGGGACCCATCGCTTACAAAAAATCAGGTTGGTAATAGTTTATGTTGACACATCTGCTTCTGAAGATGGTTCATACTAAACGGCATTTCACAAATATGCCAAGAGCTTTTCCTGCAGTTTTACCCATTGCTCCTCATTTGTTGTCAGTTTAAGGGACAGCAAAAAGCTGCGCTTTTTTTTTTTCTTTTAAAAGTAATAATCCTGGTCTTTATCTTAGTAGTATGGATAGCCAAATACTGGAGAACTGATTGGCCAAGAAATCTTACTCACCCTTTGACAACTGCGTATTAAAAGCCCATCTGTTTTCAAGCTTAGCACAATTTGACCATCCTTTCGGTCAACAGATCAACAATTTTATACAGCTCGTGATACGTTTTTTACCTTTCCTTTAAATGTTTCATTATCTGTTTTCATCATTTCGGAAAAAGTGTAAATGACCACATCTAACTGCTGCTCTCTCCACTATTGTTGTAGCTCGTTAGCTGTCTGCCACATCTGAAGATTCTTATAATCTGACTATGTCCAAGGTTTGGTTTAGGCATGTATAGTTCTACACAGCAGAATGAAGTGACACTGGAAGGTCTTACTGTTTAGATGTTTCCGAGCCAGTAATAAAGGAAGTTTGAATTGAGCTAGAAGTGGAGGGAGGAAATAATACTTGATTCTGATTAAACACATTTAAGGCAAGTCGTGTGCACTGCAGTAGCCCTGCCGATGGTACAATATAGAGTAATGCCAGCACTGGCAGAACAGTGTGAAGGTGAGAAATCTCTCTACAAAATAAGTCCTCTTTTAGCATCTGAAAGATCAGGTATTGCTCTTGCAGGAAGTGGGAACCTGTATTATGATGGATTCCTAGTGTAGTGTTAATCTAAAAATGTCCCTTTATTACCGTGTTCCATAAAATACACTGATGATGTCCTTTTCTCTAGTTAATTCCAGAATAAAAATTGTAATATAAGAGGAGACAGCTTTGTTTAGTTTGGTTTGTTGTATCTTGTCTCCAGCCTACCAGAGGTCTGAGGCTTCAGAAGGTGGACATACATTCCTACTTACTTACGCAGAGGGAGAGTACAACTCTCCAGCTACTTCAAATGATCTGTGTGTAGCTTGATGCACAAGACTTGTTTTGACACTCATGATGAATGTTTGTAACTATTTGAATTTCATGTCTTATCTCATCTGAAACGCCAGGTTGCTTGTGGCTATCTCCTAAGGCCAATGTAACTTTAGTTTCTGTTACAACAGTTGACAAGAACTGCATCAGCAACGTGTTAAATGCAACAAAGATAAAAGGGTGCAGGGAAACTGCAAGTGTGGAATTTTCAAATACCTTTTTTTTTCTGATTCAAGATTGTTTTAAAAATCAGGTTTGTGCTTTGATCAGAAGGAAAAGGCTCGGTGGCTTTAAGGGCTTGTGTAGCCTTCGTATATGACTTGGTAAGCTTAAACCCATTTGTTCACCAAAAATCAGTTTTGAAGAGCATCTCTTATATAAAAGTTTGTAATGGATTAAGACACTGAAGTAGCTAAAGTTATATACCCGTCTTATAGCTGTAAATGTTTGGCAGATTTTGATGGGAAGTAATTCGTCTTCTGGATACAGTACTCAAACGATCATGCTTGCCTTTTCCCCCTGGAATTGAGCTTATGGTGAACTTTTTCATGCAGCTCAGCTGCAGGGAATGAGGCTTTTTTTTGACTGGCGGAGAAAGATGCTTATGATTTAGCCTTGCATGCTGAGTTGATGGTTAAACTCTTGAGGGACCTCTAAATTGGCACTCGCCACATCACATGTCTGTTCAGATGATAAACTTTAGGGCCTGATCTGCAGGCCAAAAATTGGAGAGGAGAAATTAATCTAAAGGTTTGAGACTGTTGCAGTGGGTCTTGAGACTATTATTTAGAAACGTTGTTGTTTAGAGAAGATCATGGATGTTGTTTTTCTAAAAACTGCTTTTCAATATTTAGTTTCTGCTTTGTTCTTTGTTTTAAGGACTATCGGACAAAGCCCTTTTGCTGCAGTGCATGTCCATTTTCCTCGAAGTTCTTTTCAGCGTACAAAAGCCACTTCCGGAATGTTCATAGTGAAGACTTTGAAAATAGGATTCTCCTTAATTGTCCTTACTGTACTTTCAATGCGGACAAAAAGACTTTGGAAACGCACATTAAAATATTTCATGCTCCAAATGCCAATACACCAAGTGGAGGCATCAGCACTTTTAAAGATAAAAACAAACATGATAGCCTTAAACCTAAGCAGGCTGACAGTGTAGAACAAGCTGTTTATTACTGTAAGAAGTGCACTTACCGAGATCCTCTGTATGAAATAGTTAGAAAGCACATTTACAGGGAACATTTTCAGCATGTTGCTGCTCCTTACGTAGCGAAGGGAGGTGAAAAGTCACTCAATGGTGCAGTTCCGTTAAGTTCCAGTACCCGAGAGGAGGGTAGTATTCACTGCAAAAGATGCCTTTTTATGCCGAAATCATACGAAGCTTTAGTACAGCATGTTATCGAAGACCACGAACGTATAGGATATCAGGTAACAGCAATGATAGGTCACACTAATGTAGTGGTTCCAAGATCTAAACCTTTGATGCTAATAGCTCCAAAACCACAGGATAAAAAGCCTATGGGACTCCCTCAGAGGATGGGTCCCCTTTCCCCTGGAAGCGTTCGATCTCTTTCGTCACAACAGATGATGAACAGACTCACTATACCAAAGCCTACGTTAAATTCCGCAGGAGTGAATATGATGTCAAATGTTCACCTACAACAAAACAATTACGGAGTCAAATCAGTACCACCAAGTTATGTCGGTCAGCCAGGGGGACGACTCAACTTAAGTGGTAATGCACCAGTTTCTATTCCACAACAATCGCAAACAATGAAACAGTTTTCAGCGAGTGGAAATGGAAGGCCTTACGCTCTTGGAGGGGAACAGAGATCACAGGCCTCGGCAAGATACTCTCTTCAGTCTGCCAATTCATCTTCTCTTTCATCAGCTCAGTTGAAACAGACGTCATTATCTCAGTCACAGGCAGCTTCAAGAGTATTAGGTCAGTCTGGCTCGAAATCTCCTGTAGCTGCTACAGGTCCTTCCGCTGTCAATACATCATCCACACAGAAGTGGAAAATCTGTACAATCTGTAATGAGCTGTTTCCTGAAAATGTGTATAGTGTCCACTTTGAAAAGGAGCACAAGGCTGAAAAGGTGCCTGCGGTAGCTAACTATATAATGAAAATACACAATTTCACTAGCAAATGTCTATACTGTAATCGCTATTTACCCACTGATACATTGCTTAATCATATGTTAATACATGGTCTGTCTTGTCCGTATTGCCGTTCAACCTTCAATGATGTTGAAAAGATGGCTGCTCATATGCGAATGGTTCACGTTGATGAAGAAATGGGACCTAAAACTGATTCCACTCTAACCTTTGATTTGACATTGCAGCAGGGTAGTCACACGAATATACATCTTCTTGTAACCACCTACAACCTGAGAGATGCTCCTGCTGAATCTGTAGCTTACCATGCTCAAAATACTCCCCCGGTTCCTCCAAAACCACAGCCGAAAATCCAGGAGAAGTCGGATGTACCTGTAAAAAGTTCTCCACAAGCAGCAGTTCCCTACAAAAAAGATGTGGGGAAAACTCTCTGTCCTCTGTGCTTTTCAATCCTAAAAGGACCCATCTCTGATGCACTTGCACATCATCTACGGGAGAGGCATCAAGTAATTCAGACAGTTCATCCGGTTGAGAAAAAGCTAACCTACAAATGCATTCATTGCCTTGGTGTATATACTAGTAACATGACTGCCTCAACTATAACGCTGCACCTTGTTCACTGCAGAGGTGTTGGGAAGACTCAGAATGGCCAGGACAAAGGTACTTCGTCATCTCGGCTAAGTCAGTCTCCAGCTGTAGCACCTGTAAAACGTACTTACGAACACATGGAATTCTCGCTAATGAAGAAAAGGAAAATGGATGATGATGACTCCCCCTCTGCCTTTGAGGAGAAGCCTGAAGAACCTGTAGTTCTAGCATTGGACCCCAAGGGTCATGAAGATGATTCCTATGAAGCCAGGAAAACATTTCTTACAAAATATTTTAATAAGCAACCATATCCCACTAGGAGAGAGATTGAAAAGCTGGCTGCCAGTTTGTGGCTATGGAAATCTGATATTGCATCTCATTTTAGCAACAAAAGGAAGAAATGTGTTAGAGATTGTGAAAAATACAAACCTGGTGTGCTGCTTGGTTTCAATATGAAAGAGTTAAACAAGGTTAAACATGAAATGGATTTTGATGCTGAATGGCTGTTTGAAAACCACGATGAAAAGAATTCCAGAGTCAATGTTAGTAAGACTGTCGATAAAAAAATAAACTTAGAAAAAGACAATGAAAGTTCCTCAGACAGCTATGAAAATATAGAAGAGGAATACAACGAAAGCGGTAGTCCATTTGGTCAGCGTATTTCTGACATTGGTGGGAAAACCTCTTCTGATAGCATAGTGGAGAACCCAGAAGACAGCATATCCAAGGAAATCATTGAAGAAAATACATTACAGTCTCCAGAGAAGTCTGATCAAAAACAAGAGGAAAGCTCTAAATATGAAGAGATTATTTCTGCTGAAGAACCAGCAAAACTAGTAGGTGACATTTCAGATAGCGAAGGTGATCAGGATGATCAGGAAGATGCTGTTGAATGGAAAGATGGAGCTTCACAGTCTGAAAGTGGGCCTGGTTCTCAGCAGGTTTCTGATTTTGAAGATAATACATCAGAAGTTAAACCAGAAGTGTGGACAGATGAATCCTCCCAAAGTGAAGATGCTGGTAGCAGTAAACCGACTGTTGAGACAAAAGGGGGTGGATCTGAAAGTGACGAAGAACAGTCAAAGTGGAAGAATCGTTCCTATGGAAAAGTAGAAGAGTTTTGGTCTAAGGACCAGTCGCAATGGAAAAATGCATCAGAGATTGAGGAGAGCTTGTCAAATCAGCAGATGGAATGGCAGAATAGCACAATTGACAGTGAGGATGGAGATCAGTTTGACAGCGTGACTGATGGAGTAGCAGAACCAATGCATAGCAGCTTAACTGGTGTGGAGCTGAGTAGCCAGCAAGCATAAGCTGCTCGATTCAGAGGTGTCAGTAATATGATCCGATCTACAACTGTCTAAACACTTTCATTTCAGTATGACTGCTAAGCTTAAATTCTAACTGGTACTGCCTTTCGAGTGCTAGGTCATGGCGTGTGGTGGTTGTGGCCACTATTATTCCAGTGGTTATTTAAGGATGCTGTTGGCTAATCTTGCTTGAGAATACCTGCTGGGATGAGCACAGTAACTTAATGTGAAAACGGCTAAGCTGGTGGCTCCAGAATGCACACAGAGAAAAGCAGAGGTTTATTTTATCTGCATTTTCAACATTTATTTCACTCTTGTACATGTTCAGTTGTATGTCTTTTTAAACATTACCCTTTTTCACATGGTAGTGTAGGGCCAACCATACAAGCTACCAGTTCAACATGTATAGTAGACTATGGGGAAATTGATTTTTTTCATGTATCATTCTGAATAGTTGAAATGTATATTTGTACAGTCTTTTAGACCTATTCAAGTGAAGCTTATGAAATTGTTCTTGTGTACCCATCATAGATTTGTTTCTCTTTTTTAGTGTTGCCCTGCTGTGTAATAAATGCTGTATCTAGTTTACCTAGCAAAAGCTTGAAACTGCTATAGTATGAATTTTGACAAACTTAGTTTTTGCACATAACCTTGTACAATCTCAAAACAGAGGCCAGCGACATAAAAAAATATATCTGGACTCTATTGTATTTTAGAATTTTCTTGTTCTGAGTATCCTTGACATTACAACTGATGACAAACGTATTTCAGAGCCATTTTCTGAAATCTTTTAAGCTAAAAAAGAAAAATCACATGCAAGAAACAAATTTGCAGCTACTAATTTTGACACCTTTTAGATCTGTATAAAAGTGTATTGTGTTGAAACAGCACACTGAAACAAAAGTGCTGTGTTTTGAATATTTAGTTTTATCTTTAGTTAACACCAACAAGGTGTTGTATTCATTTATACCATCTAATATATGACACACTGTTGTAGTATGTATAATTTTGTGATCTTTATTTCCCTTTGTATTCTTCATTTAAGCATCTAAATAAATTGCTGTATTGTGCTTAATGTAAATATTTGCTTTATTACATGCAAGTGCTACATTCCTGTTCGGTAAATCCCACCTTGCTACATTCATTCCTTCCCCCCCAGGTGCTCCACAGCTCTGCTGGGGCACATCTGTATAGTCCTTTCTTACTGAATAGACGGATCTCCTTCAAGGATATTGCAAATCCTACAGAACTAACTTTGGCTGAATTTCTCTTTACTATTTAGCATTCTAGAACACTAATTTATAAATAGGATTGTAGAGATTTGCTTGTTCTGCATCACTTGCATTTTTCATCCCTTTGTACTTACATGAATGGATATCACTTTCACATATTAAAAAGTTCTCTAGAACTACGTCTTGAGGGTAAATGCACTACATATTGAGGGTAAATGATAGTGGGAGCATGCCTTGCAAGCTCCGGACTTGTTTTGGCTTTGAAGAAAAAGTAATTAGAACACTAATTTATAAATAGGATTGTAGAGATTTGCTTGTTCTGCATCACTTGCATTTTTCATCCCTTTGTACTTACATGAATGGATATCACTTTCACATATTAAAAAGTTCTCTAGAACTACGTCTTGAGGGTAAATGCACTACATATTGAGGGTAAATGATAGTGGGAGCATGCCTTGCAAGCTCCGGACTTGTTTTGGCTTTGAAGAAGAAGTAATCTGAATACTAAAAAAAAAGTTTGTTAAAATTTGTGATTGGCTTGGTCAAACCAGTCCTGCATTTTGGCAAGCGTGCAGTACAACAGACAGCTGCATAACCAAAACCTCATCGAGAGAATAATTTACTGAAGGGAATCTAATTGTGATGAGAACAAAACTATTCTTAATTAGAGCGATGAGTTTGATTTAGGCGTATGTCTAATAAATATCAAGAGTACCTACTTTTTGATACTTTACAAGACCTAAATTGACCTGTGAAATTTTCATTAATGTTATAAAGGAGGAAATAGTTCTGTGCTCTTCAACATTTTAAACAGCAAAACCATTCAACAGAGATCTTGAGAAAACATTTGGATATCTCTATAGCAGTCTTGGGTAGGTATAAACTGTACTTTCCACTAGTATAACAAACAAGCCACTATATAAGCCAAAGGTGAGAATATGTGTATGCTCTCATGTTCTGCAACTAACTTGTGCTGCTGATGCTCTTTGGAATGAGCATTTCTGGGTTTTGTTGAACTAATTATGTGTGCGAAGTGATGACTGAAAACAGTTGCCTTTAGATGAAGATGGTTTAGATTTGTCTTGTTCTTCCTTTCCCCCTTCACAGAAGGGACACATACTTTCGTTCTGCTTTTTTAACTGAGAGGAGTGGAAGTTGGAATGGCTCCCAGTTATGCACTCAAGTGGTAGAAGATACATTTTAAGAACAATACAGGAAAAATACTTTTGACGTTTACATCAGCAAAAGTTTCTCTGCCTTAAAAGAAGACTGGAGCCTCAACTCATTTTGTTAGCAGGCTTTCCGAACTATTTCATTGAAAATAACTTTTCAGTAAATCGGCTGAGAGTTTGTTAACTACCACTTATAGATGTCAGTGGGTTGGTAATCTTTTTCCCAACAAATCCAGGCACTCGAAGTCCTAAAAAGGTTATTCCTTGCTAAGAAAACTTGGTTATGTTCCTTTCTCCCTCTGTAGGCTGCTCTATTTCACATGAGGCTGCTGTCTGAAAACTTAAGATATTTTAGAGTTTGTTTTGTGTCATTTCATCTAGGCTTTAAGGGATTTTTCAAATACATTTTTTAAAGACTTTAAAAAAAAACCCAACAGTTTAATGGTAGTACAACAACCCTTATCTGTTAAGCAATGAAATAAAAGATTGGGTAGCATCTTGTGAATCTGCATCATATTTGTCTCAATATCTGGCAAGGTTAATTTAATATTAGTGAACTCTACTTAAAGTCAAATTTCCAAATTCTGAGCTCTTGTTTGTAGTCAGTGAATACTAAGACTATGAAATCTAAACTCTAGAAATGCTTCATTTGCCAGAAAATTCCATGATAGGAAATACCATTTTATATAACGATTAAATTAAAGGTCTTGCACAAAAATAGTCTGTCTTACCAGGAATATCAAGAAGGATTGGGGGTGGCTATTCTAAGTTTTGGCATAAACTTTCTAGCATTTCAAGTTACTCTTCAAATCTGGATTTTAGCCTAGGCAAGAATTCCTTTCCAGATTTGAGGCTAACCACACATTTTTGAGGAATTCAAAAAGCAGAAGAGGTAAATGGCCCAATAAAACTGGAGGAACCTTAAACCCAGTTTGTGTAATCTTAACTTACCGCACGATTATAACTGTATGAGATGGAAGTTAGCCAATTTTTACATACATTACTGAAATTCAGTAGCAGAATTCTAGAAACATGCCAGCTGTGCTTGCAGAGTAGACAGCTCAAGCTGACACTTATATTCTTCTGCTGTCTTCCGTGGGAGACCTTGAAAACACCAGTCTGTCCAGGCTTTGACCAGCACAACAGAGCAGAAAGACCATTAAGCCTCTTCTCTAAAGAATTTGTTTCAGCCAGTTTACCTGAATTGCAGCAAAGCGAAGTGTGTTTTCCATCTTAAATACGCTATCTGAAATCTAAAGGTTGTAACAGTTGAGAATGAAGTAGGAGGTTATTAGCATACACATTGTTTCTAGACACAAGACAGCTTTGTACAACAAAAACTCTTTCAGAGCTGGCATGACCTGTAATTTGACTTTTGATGAATACCTGAGAGTGGCAAGGACAGTCTGAGATTGTTAAGGGTAGTTGCATTTTATATGACACTTTTATTTCTATGGGTGTTCATATGGGCTTGTAATAACTGTTATTTTGAAGCATTGTTCATTGCGCTGACCTGCAGCTGAGATGCAGTGGCTCAACAAGTACGCTTTTCCTCCTTCTTTTAGTACACTCCTCTCCTTCCACGCCCCCCCCACTCCTTGAAGCATAGTTACAGCCAATAAGCTTTCCTCCAAACTAAACAGTTATTTTCCAGCAAGGACGGACAGACAGCTTTTGCTAAACTCCTAGTTTTCTATCCTGTGCATCGGACACTAAAGTCACACTTGGTCTCAGCATTTTCCTTTGGGTACTGTGACTTAACCCTTTATCTACACTAGGATTTCTACTCAATCAAAACCTTTTACTACACGATGATGCAGAAATATCTGCACTGAAGTTTTATTTCAACAAGCTCTTAATCTTACTGAAAGTTCAAGTGACATTTAATGCTGCCATCCTCTGTTCAGCAGTAACATTTCTGCAGCAAGAACTTGCCAATTAATATTTGACCCTTTGACATGTATTTTCAAGACAGAAACCTGAATATTCACCCAGTATTTTTATAGGAAAATTCTATCAATCATTCTTGCCACCAAGAAATTAGTAGGTTTCAAATATCCACTAATACAGTAAACAGTTTACCATTATGTAGTTCATATATTTCATACACTGCTATGGTATTAAAACAAGTTTATTTCAATTTTTATCAGAACCAAAAGATTTGAGGAATATGTTGTGTGTACTGTCTCTTCATTTCTGTTAATAAAGAAGCTGATATTTGGATAAACAGGTTGGTATAACGAAGAGTATTTTGTTCCTTTCATAACTAACTGGCCTCTCTGTAATACCAGCTCCTTCGTAATCCATTAGAATAACCTGCATTGCAGGGGCAGAGACATTGACTAGGTCTGTCTTCTGTTGCTTTATATTTTAATTCAAATTTATCTTTCATCAGCCCCACTAATAAATATGAAAAGGTTGAGTTCATTTATTTCTGCATCAGAAAAGCATTGGTCTCCATGGTTACTCAAAGCCATGTAGCTTTACTTTCCCCATAAGCTTTTTCCCCCCCCTTACAGAATTTGCATTGGGTCCTCCATCTTGAGTTTTTCCACAGATATTTTTTAAACGAGCATTTATTTCTGTTTCTCTGTATTGTGCTGTATGCAAAGCCAATCATCTGAAAAGTATATAACCTTCTCTTCCTAACGTTCCTTATTCAGAGAATTGCGTGGTTTTTGTTTCCCTAGACCTATTTTGCAGTCAAAAAAAAAAAAAGCTACAGTTGCAGAGATGAACTATGCTACTCCTGGTCCTGGCTAAATAGCATCTGCATTACAAAATTGCACATCCAAAGGTCCATAACAGAAAGTTTATTTATACCATTCAAATTATATTACACAACAGCTTTTAAAACCCTATTCCTAGTTTGAAAGAGAGTGCTGGAAGCTTCGGCCATGTGCAGTTTATTGAATTTTAAAATTTTGACATTGACTTCATGTTCTCTTGTAAAATCTGAACATTTGTGCAATTGTGAAGCTGGCAGTATTAGCACATTACTTGACAGTTTTAACATGCTATACTAGAGCACTCTTCAACATTCTGATCATTTTAAGTATAAAAATGTGAAGGTAAACAAAGTGAGGTTTTGTACATGTTTTTCATTGATTTAGGAAGCTTATCAAGTAAGTGCAAACTACTGCGATCAAATCTTGGAATAAATGTTCCAGCCTCCATACAGCTACAATATGATCAGAAATTTTTAGCTTCCCTTAGAGATGCCAGCCAAAGATCTGAAATGTAACAGTTGCTTCTTCCTAATGCCATAAAGTATGTACTGCAAGAATAAACCCAGGCAGCCTTTCCTAAAAACCTTTTGGTAGTCAAAAATTAATTATTTTGATACTTAGTACCTACATAGCTCATAGGAAAAAAGTCTTCAGTTCGGTAGAGTTTTGGCAGGTCATAGGAGCGTGCTGCTGATAGAGGATGTCTCTGAAACAAGAACAGGACAGAAATTAATCTTATTGTTAAAGAACAGGAAATAATACTTTAAGGAGTTGACCGTGTAAAAGAGACATGGGGGTGGGGAGAGGAATCGGCGTCCCAGAACTGAAGTTACTTTCCAATACAAGATAATTGGCTCTGTAAACAATGCTGAAAATGTGAAGTTGTTTGTTTTCACACCTGATTCTACAGACTTTGCAATCATCTTAGCTGGATTAATATTGAACAGATAAAATTAGAGTAGAACACAGGGGAAATTAGTTTAAAGCACAGAAAAATGCAAATGAATTAGTAATGCTGGAAAATACTGACTACAGAAGAAATATAGAAAGGGATTTGGTTTTGCTTCTAGGGTTTTTAAGAATTCAAATAATTGATTAATCCTGAATTGAGATAAAATAATATTTCTGTAGTGCAACAATTCAAACCTCTAGCTAAAATCACAGTCTCAATGGAAAATGAAGAGCCTATCCCTCCCATAAAGCTAACGGTCTTCAGGCTCTAAACTTAACATATTTCCGGAGAATAGTTTGCTATTTAGATGTAGTCCTCCCATTTATTTGTATCCAGTTCTCATTCACGTGTTTCAAGCTGTGCATCTGGTTACAAACATTGCTTGATAGTACCCGCTGCTAATTCTTCAGAGTAGAAAACTGGCTCTCCATATACATCTAGGCACAATTTAAGAAGTAAATATTCGTTTATACTGTGACCTAGGTACTGGGTACCGAAGCTGCGTTGTGCTGCCATTGTCAGAACAGGCAGAATGAACGGGGGTTCTGCTGACAAACTCTTGATATGCACATCTCGGAGATCACGACCGCGTTCTCAGAGAAGGACACTTGCTACCTATTAGGATATACAAACTTTGCTGTGGGGGAGAAACATACTTCTAGTGATAATCATCAACAGATACATGTGGTTTTGAAATTTTCATGTGCAGACCCAAGCAAAAGGAGATGGGCTCCTTTTAATGGGCAGAATACTAGAATTTTTAATGTAAAATGTAATTGTAAGTTTTTTCATCTAAGATTGAAAATCAACAGTCACAACCACTGAGTAAGACAAGATGAAGAATCTGAATTGATCATGTCAGAACTACCAGTGACAAGGTCCACCTCTGCAAAATAGGAAGGAGAAAAAACCCTAAGCAAAGAAGCTGCAAAAACAGCCAGCTGTAACAATTCACAGGGGAATACTAACATTTTCTGTATTTTCCATAAAATAAAAGTAGAGAGAAAGAAAAGTTAAAAATCACTCCAATTTTCAAAGTAAAATAATCTGTCCTTCATTTCTAGGGCAATATTGCCAGTGGTCATACCAGGAGAAAACAAGGCAGGAATAGTGTTATGAATGACAGTAATTAAACTTAACAGGCTGAGCGACAATCTGTTTGCAGAAAGCCCTGATCAGAGCAATCAAACTTAACTAAGGACATGAGCCTCTCAAACTAACTTTAAAAGTAGACTCAGGATTTCCCATAGCTCATGAAACCATTGTCCCACTCTGATTTGTAACTGGTTATTTTAGAACTGCTTATTCTTAGCACTTATATCCAGAATTCCTCCAAATAGATGATGCCATGATTGCAATGAGAATTTACTTTTTTTGTTTTGGTTTGGTTTTGGGATTTTGTTTTTGTTTTTGAGCTCCCTGCAATGGTAGCCTGACACTTTGATGAATAATACCTTATTACTTACATAGTACTACAGGTATTATGATTCATAGATATACTTAGTCCCTTCTGACCTGCGGGTACTATATGTTTTCTATATACCCCCTTGACACAGGTAATTCTTTTGGGTCACTTCCTGTAACCGTGCCGTAAATACTTACAAAAGTGACTCCTCCTGTTTTACATCTACCCACACCAAACTTTGATCAAGAACACTCTTGTTACCAGATTTTGTTAAAGGAACTACTTCAATCTTCATTATCTTAAAGTATAGCTGCTGAATCAATAGTAAATGAGAGGCAAAGATACCAATCCATATGACTTGACAGTATTTTATGAGGAAGGGGTCTGAGAAAATATTTCTTTCACAATGGTACAAGTGCCACACAGGGTTAAGAGACAAGGGCATGAGGAATCTCTGTGCTGTGCACATCACACAGACTGAAGATGAAATAATTCCTTTGTGGTCAGGCCACTGTGAAACTTAAAGGAAAAGTGATATAGTTGCCTGCTGGGGGGCAAGGGGGGCAAGAAGAGGGAGAAAGTGTCTTGAAATTCCAAAGCCTATTGAAGACATCAAAAGAGAAAGGTTTAAGTAGCAGCAAATAGCTTTTCACCTCTTGATCACTTGATTCATGTCTGTCACAATCTAATAAAGGCCAGATTATGGCCTTTATGAAAGTAGGTGCTCTCGTTAGGATGGCATCCATACTGTAACATACAACCACTGGTGACACTGACTACAGCAGTAGCTTGCTGAAGGCCAAGTGCCCATATGACTAAACGGTGTTTATGTCTAATCCAGGCTATAAAGGCCTTGGGCAAGGTTCTGTCATTTCACTGGCGTCTGTAAGCACCTATGGCACCTATTCAGAGCAAACACATAAATCCTTATTTTTCCTCTTAACTTGCCTCTTAGGTCAGGCTTGAGACAGCGCAGCATAGTGTAGCAAGCTTACACTGTATCTGAAAAACACAAGCTGAAAACAGGTTTCTGTTAAGATGCCCTATACCCCTGTATTCTTTGTCCCAAACTTGGAAACTATTTATTTATTAACTTAAAGATCCAACAATGAGTGAATAAACTGAGGAAATAAAGATTAAAGGAATTATAGAAGAATTTAGCATTTGGAAGGAAGTATAACAGGTTTAGATGAAGCTAGATCAAATAGTAGAAATGAAAGGATTAAAACATTTGAGAGAGCTTTTGAAAAATAAAGTACATACAACAATTCTGCACTTGCAGGCAAATAAAAGAAATGGCATGTAGAATCATGCCTGAAAGATTAAAACTTCTGGTGGCAGCTTTAGAGACTTCAGTCAGTTGCATTTTAACAGGCAGCCAAGTTATCCAGGGAGACAAGTTGTGTGACATAGTGTCTAAAGCACTGAAAGCACCCCTTGAGAAATACAGTTTGAAGCCCCTAAAAGCCAGGTCTCCAGCTGATAAAGCTAAATACAGGAGAGCAGTAAGAAAATGACCCATTTAAGAGCATAGTGGTTGCTCTGACAACTGCAACCCAGCATCAGAACAGCAAAGCTGGGTCAAAAGGTGATCACTTACAGGTTGCATCACATCCAGGAAACAGCTTAATTCACAGACAGTTAGATTGTACCTTCTATTGAAGAAAAATAAATGCTGGGCTGTATGTGTCTGCTTGCTCGGTTTCATTTTCATAGCCAGACTTAAATCAGCCTGCACAACAACATTACATTTAAGGCAAGTGCTCTAAGAATTGCTGATGTGGACACAGAAAATTGTTTCCCCTCTATCCAAATATCTACAAGATGGTCCAGAAATCCACTTCGGTACTGCTTTTATAACGCAGATGTAGGGCATCTACCCCTCAGGGACCATGAGCCCAGCCCAGCTAGACAATTCTGCCCATCCCTGGCTATTGTCTCTCCCAACAGCCTCCCAAACAGATCAGGAACAGGTAGCACTTCACCTGCTTACGTGTATAATAAATACACTCTGGGAAGCAGCTAGGCAAGCACAGTAGGTATGGTCTCTTTCTGGTGCAGGGGCACTGCTACAGCCACCAAGTGCCCCAGCAGAATGGTTTGGCATCATTATAAGGATTTCTGACCCTATTCCAAACAGTATGTTTATCCAGGCTATTTGCAGTGTGCCCGACCATTACAGCTAAAACATCGAGCTATTTTCACAGACAGAGAAAATAGTAGATTACCTGAGAAAAGGAGGAAGGATATTATTTCACATAGAAAAAAGAAGTTAGCCTTCCACATGCTGTGTCTCTGGAAACTTAAGAGTAAGAATAAAGGTTCAAGTTACCAGCTGACAGCAATCATTCCAGATCCACCAAAAAAAAAAAGCCTCCTTTAAGGCTACCAAATTTAAAGTCTTGGTAGTTCAACTTAGTTGTATTTACAATAACTGTACTGGGGTAGTTATCCCTCTGAAATGAGCTTCTGATCAATTCTGCTGCTTCAAAGCAGAGAAAGGAGCAATAATAAAATATTCCATCCATGCTGCTGCACTGTGGTGCTGACTTTGCTTCAAGTACTATTCATGTTTCCAGAGCTCCTGAATCCGTTTCTTTTACATCTGCTGCCTACCACCTGAAACAGCATTAATATACCTTCCCCTTGACACCAATAAACATATTTGCTCCTGTTAGTTTACAGTGAAAGACGGCGAAGCTTCCTGGAGTGGATCAGCACCGCTGCAGATATCCAAAGACAACGAAGCAGCTCAAGGAGCGCTTCTCTACAGAAACCTGCAACAGCAATTTGACCTCTGCTATGAAAGATAAAAGGGGATTCTTGGCTATCTGGCAATAATTATTTTTCAGATTTGGTCATTCTTGCAGGTATTAAAATCAATACCTAGACTGTAGAAATCAAAACAGGGCAAAAACTGAAACCTCTTTCTTTGGCAGCTCCAAATTCAAGCAAACATTCTTAGATTTGGTCATTCTTGCAGGTATTAAAATCAATACCTAGACTGTAGAAATCAAAACAGGGCAAAAACTGAAACCTCTTTCTTCGGGGCAGCTCCATCCAAGCAAACATTCTTACTTTTTTCCAGCAAAACTTCAAAAATGACCATTTGGATTCCTCTCGATTTTAATTTTTAACATAATTTTATATAATGGTAAAATAATTTTCATTTCTACTAAAATAGATTTAAAGTTCAACATTAAAAACTTACTTCTTAAAAACCTATCAACTTTGACTTTTCCAACCAGTCTTCTTTTGATTGCTGCCAGCCCACCCAGCACAGTGCTAGCGGACTCTTGCGAGACCCTTTTGGGAAAAGTATGAATTAAAGAACCCACATGTTCTTCAC